AAATCAAAACTCCTTGTTACGAGTTTAAACTAACTATAAATCATGTCAAATCAAGACTCCTTGATACGAGTATAAACTATCTATCAAATCAAATCAAAACTCCTTGATACAAGTATAAACTATCTTTCAAATCAAATCAAGACTCCTTGATACGAGTTTAAACTATCTACAAACTCAAGTCGAAGAACTCCTAGATAAGAGTTTAAACTATCTACGTGTCCAAACCAAAATAAAAAATTTTGAGACTCACTCACTACCAAGACATTTTGTTCGTGAACAAGTCTTAAGGGGGCATTTGTAGACATCAAAATTTTAATATTTTATTAATTAATGTCTTTATTTATTTTTGGGACATAAATCTAAAATAAATAAGATATTTAATTAATAAAGTAATTGTTTCTTGCCCACCAAGTCAAATCTTAAGATAAGGAAAGAGATTATATCAAATCTTAGGATAAGGGAAGAGATTATATCAAATCAAGAAGGACCAATCAAATTGATGTCTTCTTTTCCAAGACTCTCTCTCCTACACCTATAAATAGGGCTCTCTCCTACACACCTCAAACATCTCAAACACATCTCAAGAATCCTCTCGAAGAATCCTCTCGAAGATTTGAAGAAGTTCTTGAAGAACCGCCCGAAGTCCGTTCAATGAAGAAGAAGGCCAAGAAGAAGAAAAGGAGGCGGATTCTCTTCCCCAAGAAGTAAAGAGGCGACTTCAACTGCTCTCAAATCAATCTAAGCAAGCGACATCAAGCCGCGTTCATCGAGAAGTTCCAGCAACATAACGTCCGGGAAAAAGCTATCAAGCCCTCGAGTCAACGTTATTCAAGTCAAAGTCTATCTTTCCAGAAGATCAAAGAAACAAGTTCTCCAAGAAGTTGTCTTTAATCAAGTCAAGGCTTAACATTTAATGCGGGAATAAGTCATTCGACCCCCAAGTTAATGCTAGAGAAATTCAGACCAAGCCCAAAGGAGGTTCAATCGTCAAATCCATTTTCAAGGTCTCAAGCCCAAATTAATGAAGAGAAGAATCAGAGGATATAAATAGAGATTGTACCCGCATATCGTTTGATCGAAATATAAATCAAGTTGTACAAAAAGTATTATGTTTTTCATAAAATTTGTTGTTACACCCGTAAACAAAATTAATTATAAAAAACGAAAAAATCACCTCCAAGAAGCCATTGGTATCGGCAGCCAGGGCTTGAAGAGCTTTCTGAGCTTCATTCAGCTTCAACCCAGCCTTACTCGCCACATCACCGATTGTGACTCGCCTCCCGCTGGTATCAATGGCATCCATAGCTCTCTTCCGCACGTCGGACGGCAATTTATCGCTCTCGACGGCGCCGCCGGGCCTGATTGCTGACGTGACGACATCAACACCGCTGCTGCTGCTGCTGCTAGCCCTAATTACGGCAACCGAGGATCTCCGGCACCTGTACTTGGCGGAAGAGGGACGGATTGGCGCCGCCAGATGAGTGACAAAGTTGAAGTGTGCGGATTTAAATGGTCTGCGCGAGAGGGTTAAGGAGTGGGATTTTGGGGTGTGGATGAATATGTAAGCGGACATGGATGCCATTGCACCTCGCTCTGCAGATTTTATGGGCCGCCTGCTATGCGTTTTCGTCCATGGATGGAAGATATTTTATCTGTGTTTGGATTTTTACCAGTGAAATTGCTTGTGTGTTTTTATTTTCTGGTGGTGAAGACGCAAAAACGTCTGTTAGTTGGAACAAATTAATTTTAATATATTTTTAGATTATTATCAACTTAAACTAGTATGTAACCCGTGCGATGCACGGGCTGTATTTAATTTAAAGAATATTAAAAATTAAACTGTATTAAAATAAAAGAGTGATAATTCGTAGGAAAATTATCAAACCATAAAATGTTCCTCATGCAAAAAAATATTATTTAAACTTTCTTGTACACAACATTATTTGTTGAATAACTGAGCAACTCGTCGTCCACACAAACTAATATTTCCAACACTTTTATATTACTTACACGCGAAACAAACAACATAATTGTCCGTGACTAAAAATCAATTTCTTTAAAAACATGCCAACGTATAATAAATTTTGACATTGACTCTTCTTGATCCATTACTTAATATGCCAACGTACAATAAATGTTGATCTTGACTCTTCTTGACCTATTACTTACACGCGTAACAACATACAATTGGTCGTGATAAAAAAAAAAAGATTTTTTTTAAGAATATGCTAATGCACATCTCTTATCTATTATTTACACGTAAAAACAACAACATATAATCGGTCGTTGCTAAGAACCGATTTCTTTAATAATATGTCAATGCACATAAAGACTGACCCTGATCTTAATTGAACCCTAAGATTTGAAGTAACGTTGCTCTAGCATTTAAATGAAATCCTAAGATGGATCTCTTTATAATATGATAATTTACTTAGGCAGTCAGACAATGAGTTGTTAGTTTAATATCGATTATACTTGATTAGCTATATAATATTCACTAATATTTCTATATTCTTTATACAAAAAGACTGACCATGACTGTTAAACGGAACCCCAAAATTAGAAGGAACTGGTGTCTCTAGAACTTAAATGGAAGTCTAAGATAGATCTATTATAATATGATAATTTTATACAACAGTTGGACAAATGAATTGGTGTATATCTACAAAAATATGTATGAATAATACAAAATATTAAATACTACGTCACACTAATTTTATGAGAGAGATTATATATAATAGATATAAAATATAAAACATTAGTGATTAGACATTACTTCAGGCTAATTCAAACCGAATAATTTTTAATTGAATGTGTGACAACTTGTTATATATTTTCAAACTGAACAATTTTTAATTGGACAACTTTCCTATTATATGTGTGACAACTTTTTAGGT